TTCCCTTGTGTGCATCTGGTGACCAAAGGAAGGGACTGATCCCCCCTCTGAAGCTTTTCCCAGAGCATTTCCATGGCTCTGCTGACCCAGCTTTAAAGAGTGCCAGCCAGGGTGAGTCATTAGACTGTGCAGGAAAGGTCAGAGTTTGAAGATACTCCCCAGTAGAAAACAACCATTATTTTTATGAACGCTCACAGGCTGTGAGGCAGGCTTGTTTACTGAACACTGAGGTCAAGGGCGGGGCTGGAAGTCTGGGGCATTTTTCAACAATTTTAACACTGTGTTTGCTAAATCTCCCCTTTACCCCCAAGGGCTTGTCAGGCTTGTATACATCCAACCAACTAGCTTGTTGGCAAGTGACCGCTTCCCTCTGCAGTGTTTGAAGGCTACCAAAATACCAACCTTTTTCTCTTTGGAGGTTTCAAAGCCAAACCTCCTCTCATACTCCTCTCTCCTTTCCATGCCAGATTCTCTCTCATTTAGCAGGTATCCAGCTCTCAACCCACTCAGTCATAAGCTTCCTAAGGAAGGGGACCATGGCTTATATCCATATTTACCTCTGAAACTTAGCTCCATGGTTAGTACAGTGAGTACTTACTTAGTCCAGGTTAGAAATACGCATAAGCTCTGGGAAGGTGGATCCGTGGTAGAATGCTCGCCTCGTATGCATGAGGCCTTGGGTTCAATTCCTCAGCACCACATACACAGAAAAATCCAGAAGTGGTACTGTGACTCAAGTGGTAGAGTGCTAGCCTTGAGAAAAAGAAGCTCAGGGACAGTACCCAGGTCCTGAGTTCAAGCACCAGGGCTGGCAAAAAAAAAGAAAGAAAGAAAAGAAAAGAAAGAAAAAAGTTTCAGGGCTAGGAAGGTGGCTCACTGGTAGAGTGCTTGCCTTGCATGCATGAGGCCCTGGGTTCGATTCCTCAGCACCACATAAGCAGAAAAAGCTGGAAGTGACGCTGTGGCTCAAGTGGTAGAATGCTAGCCTTGAGCTGAAGAGTCAGGGACAGTGCTCAGGCCCAGAGTTCAGGCCCCACCACTGACAAAAAAAGAAAAAATAAAAGAAATACTCATAAGCCAGGCTCCTGTCTATAATCCTAACTACCTAGGTATCTGAGATCTGGGGATCCAAACTAACCCAGGCAGAAATGTCTATGAGACTCTTATTTCTAATTAACCACTAAAAAGCCAGAAGTGGTACTGTGGCTGAAGTGGAAGAGCACTAATCTTGGGCAAAAAAGCTAAGTGATAGCACCTAGGCCTTGAGTTCCAGCCTTAGTACTGGCGTGCGCGCGCGCGCGCGCGTGTGTGTGTGTGTGTGTGTGTGTGTGTGTGGTTTCAGAGTCTCCCCCAACCTCCAATTCTCACAACTTGGGTTCCTGACACCCCTACTTCCAGATGCTCTAAGGCATCTGAATGACCCCAAACAGTGTCCACAGACAAACCTTTGCTTCAGCTTTGCTCTGTTCCACTTGCTTTCTGTCCCAGGGTTCCTCAGAGTCTTAACTACTCAAGTGTGCTCAGCCCTGAATTTCACAGAATGACTGCCTGTGGAGAAAAATGCTTCCTTTTTTCTCCTGGTAAGGAGGACAGTTCTAAGATATTTTTCATGCACCTTTTAGAGCGTCCCATGGGATCACCCAGCCAGCATCTGCAATTAGAACCAAATCAGTAAAACTGGCTTTCCCTTTCCCTGCTTCCCTCCCTTCAGCTCCTCATGGCCCACATTCCCCAGAACTGCTCACTGAGGTTAGGCCTTTGTCCTAGGCTCTGCTTTCCAGGAAGCTGAGGCTAGAATCTTGGGAGACTTGAATACATTCAGAGCCCTTTATGTAGAATTTCTCACAGACATTTTGTTTTCAAAGTTCAATTTCTTTGTATGTATTTTCTCTTTCCTGTGAGTCTTACTCTTTAAGAAAACAAGCAGGGGCTGGGAAGGTGGCTCAGTGGTAGAGCGCTTGCCTTGCATGCATGAGGCCCTGGGTTTGATTCCTCAGCACCACATAAGCAAAAAGAAAAAAGCCGGAAGTGGCGCTGTGGCTCAAGTGGTAGAGCGCTAGCCTTGAGCTGAAGAGCTGAGGGACAGTGCCCAGCCCCAGAGTTCAGGCCCCAAGACCGGACCCAAAAAAAAAAAGAAAACAAGCAAATTCAAGTTTAGAGACTTGAGAGGATTAATTCTTGTACTTTTAACCTTCCAAATCTCATGTGTATCTATGCTTTCTTTGCTTTTACTCTGAACATGCTGCAACAATTCTGTACTAGCTTTAACATTTTTTCATAAGCCACAATTCAGAAGTTAGAGAAATTGCTCTCTGGTGGTAAAGCAACAGAACTGCTGACCGACCTCTTTCTGCTCTAATTGCAGTGAATATAGTATCTCTGCTGCTCTGACTTCAGTGTTTAAGCTTCTCTATTTCCTTAGAATAAAATTCCAGCAGTACAGGATCATAGGGCACACATAATTGCATATGACCAAGTTGACTTATTGTAGCAATTTAAACACCTGCCAATGGTATGATAGTTCTCCTTACCTATGCCCTTCTCCAAACAGACATCTTGCTTCAATATTGTGTTTCTTTTTTTTTTTTTTTTTGGTAGGTTGTGGGGCTTGAACTCTAGACCTGGGCGCTGTCCCTCAGCTCTTCAGCTAGTGCTCTACCACTTGAGCCACAGCACTACTTCCGGTTTTCTGTTGGTTTATTGGAGATAAGAGTCCTAGGGACTTTCCTGCCCCGGCTGGCTTTGAATCATGATCCTCAAATCTCAGCCTCGTGAGTAGCTAAGATTACAGGTGTGAGCCACCAGCACCCAGTCTTTTTATTTTTTGCTGGGCCTGAACTCAGGGCCTGAACTCAAGTGTTCCTGTACTTCTTTTTGCTCAAGGCTATTGCTCTACCACTTGAGCCACATATTTCTTGCTTTTTTGGTGATTAGTTGGAGCTAAGAGTCTCATGGGATGGCTTTGAACCTTAGTGGTTAGAGATAAGAGTCTGATGGGGGCTGGGAAATGTGGCTTAGTGGTAGAGTGCTTTCCTAGCATGCATGAAGCCGTGGGTTTGATTCCTTGGTGCCACATGCACAGAAAAAGCCAGAAGTGGCACTGTGACTCCAGTGGTAGAGTGCTAACTTTGAGCAAAAGAAGCTCAGAGACAGTGCCCAGGCCCTGAGTTCAAGCTCTAGGACTGGCAAAAAATAAAAAATAAAAATAAATTGCATCATCTATAAATTAGAAATTGGTTCTACTATAAATACCAGAAAACGAAAACTGTGGTAAGAGCCAGCATACTGTCTGGGATGGTATGATGGCTTAGTCACCATAACCCTCAGGGCCTGAGTCTGTTTTTTTGGTCCGGTCGTGGGGCCTGAACTCTGGGCCTGGGCGCTGTCCCTCAGCTCTTCAGCTCAAAGCTAGCGCTCTACCACTTGAGACATAGCACCACTTCCGGGTTTTGTTTTTTTTTCTGCTTATGTGGTGATGAGGAATCGAACCCAGGGCCTCATGCATGCATGGCAAGCACTCTACCACTGAGCCACCTTCCCAACCCCCTGAGTCTGTTTTGTTGTTGTGTTTTGTTTTGTTTTGTTTTTTCTTTGTCACTCAGTTGCTCTGCCTTTCAAGCCTAAGATTACTTCATGAATAAAAATGGCTACTCTTATTCTAATTAGTGTGTACAAATTCCAGCCATCGAAGAGAGGAAAAAGAAAAACAGGGAAAGGTCATTCACCAGCTGTCTCTTAAGTAAAAGGCTGAATGAAGGCTGACTCCAATACTCCTGTTTACATTCAAGCCAACAAAGCAAATCAGAGCAGGATTGCTTCTCTATCAGAAAAAAGAAACTGGGCAGAAAGTTATTATTTGGGCCCAGACCTTGGAATTTTTTTTTTTTTTTTTTTTTTTTGGTCGGTCGTGGGGCTTGAACTCTGGACCTGGGCGCTGTCCCTCAGCTCTTCAGCTCAAGGCGAGCGCTCTACCACTTGAGCTACAGCGCCACTTCCGGTTTTCTGGTGGTTTATTGGAGATAGGAGTCTCTCGGTCTCTCCTGCCCGGGCTGGCTTTGAACCGCGATCCTCAGATCTCAGCCTCCTGAGTAGCTAGGATTACAGGTGTGAGCCACCAGCGCCCGGCCAGACCTTGGAATTTTGAGCAAAGAACAACTTACATAGTTGATGTGAAAGGAGTCACTTTTCCCACATTTATCTGCTTGAAATTTTCAATTTTATATTCCCTCAAAAATAAAATGTTGCCTGGCACTGGTGGCTCACACCTATAATCCTAGCTACTCAGGAGGCTGAGAGCTGAGGATCACCATTCAAAGCCAGCCTGGGCAGGAAAAGTCCACAACACTTTTTTTTGTTGTTGTTGTTGGTTGTGGGGCTTGAGCTCTAGGCCTGGACGCTGTCCCTCAGTTCTTCAGCTCAAGGCGAGCACTCTACCACTTGAGCTACAGCGCCACTTCTGGTTTTCTGGTGGTTTATTGGAGATAAGAATTTCATGGACTTTTCTGCCCAGGCTGGCTTTGAACCATGATCCTCAGATTTCAGCCTCCTGAGTAGCTAGGATTACACGCATGAGCCACCAGCGCCTGGTCTGTGACACTCATCTCTAATGAACCACCAGAAAACCGTTAGTGGTGCTATGGCTCAAGTGGTAGAGCGTTTGCCTTGAGCTGAAGAGTTCAGGGACAGCGCCCAGGCCCAGAGTTCAAGCCCCACAACCGACCAAAAAAAAAAAAGAACTATGATGTTTTCTTTTTTGTTGGTCATGGGGCTTGAACTCTGGTTCTAGGCACTGTACCTTAGCTCTTCAGCTCAAGGTTATTACTCTGCCACTTGAGCCACAGCACCACTTCTGGTTTTCTGAGTGGTTTATTAGAGATCAGAGTCTCTTGGACTTTCCTGCCCTGGCTGGCTTTGAACTGCGATCTTCAGATCTCAGCCTCGTGAGTAGCTAGGATTACAGGCGTGAAAAGAGGTGTTCTAATTATGCTTCTCACTTACAGGGACTTCCCTGATGACCCAGGAGTACAGTGGGACACGGAACGTGTGGCCAGAATTCTCCTCCAGTACATAGCAGTCAATGGTATCAACTTGGTAAGGGGACACCTCCCTGAATGGAAAGCCCAGGGTCTCCTACCTATCCTACCAGTTGGTTTCTACAAATCCGTTAGTACTAGAGTGTTTCAACTCCTGGCCTGTCCCATCAGATACAACTGGTAGTACACAGGTGAGATTAATATCAGAAAGGATGCCGCCCCATAAAATATCCAAAACTTCCAGGGCGCTCTAGTCAATCTGTTGAGCATACCTAGAAACAAATACACCTTTCAGTTCTTTTTTAGATCTTTTTTTTTTTTTCCTTCCCTTTGTGCCAGTACTAGGGCTTGAATTCAGGGCCTAGGTGCTATCCCTTAGCTTTTTCACTAAGGATTAGGGATCTGCTACATGAGCCTCAGAGGACTAGGGATCTACTATATGAGCCACAGCTCCACTAGCTGTTTGCTAATTAATTGGAGATAACCATAGGCTTTCTCATCCTGTCTGGCTTTGAACTACCATCCTGAGTAGCTAGTATTACAGGTGTGAGCCATCTGCACCTGGCAGAGGAAATCATTTCTTTTTTATTTATTTTTGGTCGGTCATGGGGCTTGAACTTTGGGCCTGGGCGCTGTCTCTCAGCTCTTCAGCTCTAGGCTAGCGCTCTACCACTGAACCACAGCACCACTTCCGGTTCTCTGAGTGGTTTATTGGACATAAATAGACTTTCCTACCCAGGTTGGCTTTGAACCGTGATCCTCAGCCTCCTAAGTAGCTAGGATTACAGACATGAGCCAGTGGCACCAAGCTGAGGAAATTTTTATTTTATTTATTTATTTTATTTTATTTTTTTACCAGTCCTGGGGCTTGATCTCAGTCCTGGGCACTATCCCTGAGCCTCTTTTGCTCAAGGCTAGCACTCTACCACTTGAATCACAGTTCCACTTCTGGCTTTTTCTGTTTATGTGGTACTGAGGAATTGAACCCAGGGCTTCATGCATGCTAAGCAAGCACTCTACCACTAAGCCACATTCCCAGCCTAAAGCAATTCTTTATTAATACATTACTTGCAACTAGACTACTGTTAAATAAGATGATTGTGGTTATTAACAATGCAGTTGAGAATTCATTCCCTGATCTGCATTTAAACCACAATAAAAATATCAGTCATGCTAGCACTATGACCAATACAGTCATAATTGCCTATCACCAAATGAAGAACAGGTGCTGTTCAGTTCCTTTTTTTTTTTTTTTTTTTTTGGTGCAGTCGTGGGGCCTGAACTCTGGGCCTGGGCGCTGTCTCTCAGCTCTTCAGCTCAAGGCTAGCGTTCTACCACTTGAGCCACAGCGCCACTTCCAGCTTTTTTCATTTTGCTTATGTGGTGCTGAGGAATCCAACCCAGGGCCTCAGGCATGCAAGGCAAGCGCTCTACCACTGAGCCATTTTCCCAGCCCTGTTCAATTCCTTATATCACAGTAAAATATGTTTTTCCTCTATGACAAAGGATGAGGATTAGTACTAGGCAGGTGAGAAGGCTCTCAGAGGCAGTATCCTGTACCAAGCTGAGTACAATTATCTTGGGGAATCCCAATTCAGTCCAGACATATCCACTGTACAACAAATACAGTGAAGAACCTACAGAAACCATGTGGAGAACCCAGGGCCAACCAGAGGAAGACTGTCACCTGGCACTGTGCCAGAATGAGATCAGAAGCACTCCCTCCTCCAAAGTGAAACTAGCCTCACACTCATAGCATAGTATAATGGCAGAAAACAGGGTTCTATCTGATCCCTTGTCTGCAGTATGCTTTCTAGCTTGTCTGCTTAATCATGATACAGGAGCATCATGAGAACCACACAGAGTAACTGACAGGGTAAAACTTTAGAAAGTACAAAGCCACCTTCCACAGAAAGCAAGGGTCAGTAGTGTCTTCACTGGGGTCAGCTAAGCTATGTGCTGGATCCCAATCCCTGCCTCAGTCTTTCATTCAATACATATCTGTTGAGCTGCACTATGTGTTGAAACTAGAAATAAAGCAGCAAGCCAAAAACACATGTTCTCCCTTAGAGCAGATGTTTCAACGTGGCATTATTGACATTTGGGGCTAGGTAATTCTCTGTTAGGGGTGCTGTCCTGTGCTTTATGGAATATACTAGATTCCAGGAGCAACCCCTCTCCTCAGTTATCACAATGAAGATCTCCATACATCGCCAAATTCACATGGACAAAATCATCTTCATGTAAGAAACAGTGCTTTAGGGCCAGAGATCTCTACTATTGGGACTTCTTTAAAAATTGGAATCTGGACAAGATCTCATTTGGACCAAGACTTCTGAAAACTAGAAGGAAAAAAAGGGGTGGGGAAGATGGAATTCTGTAAATAACCACATGGATTATGATTGTCATGTGCGAATATACATGTCCAGGGAGCTGAATACCATTTGGTTCAGCTAGCTCACCAAAGAATGAGATAGTATTAAAAGATGCAAGATAAGAAATAAAGATCTGGGCTGGGAAGGTGGCTCAGTGGTAGAGCGCTTGCCTTGCATGCCTGAGGCCCTGGGTTCCATTCCTCAGCACCAGATAAGCACAAAGAAAAAAGCCGGAAGTGGTGCTGTGGCTCAAGTGGTAGAGCGCTAGCCTTGAGCTGAAGAGCTGAGGGACAGCGCCAAGGCCCAGAGTTCAGGCCCCACGACCAGACCCAAAAAATATAAATAAATAAAATAAAAGAAATAAAGATCTAAGGGATCGGAAGGGGAAACAAAGGAGGAGGCTACAATGCTTGGTAAGAAATGTACTCATTGTCTTGCCCATGTAATTGTAACCCCTCTGTACAGTATTTTCACAATAAAAAAAAGAAAAGAAAAGAAATAAAGACCTTGGAGAATTTTAAGATAATTGAGGGCGGGGGATGTAATTCAAAGGCAGAATGCATGCTTAACATATATAAGTCCCTGGACTCTGTCCCCAGCACCAAAAAAGGAATTGAGTGGAATACCACTTGGTCCCAGTCCTTTGGCCAACGGAATGCCCTGCAATGTCCCTCCTGATACTGATCTCACCTGTGTGCGACTAGCTCTATCTAATGGTGACAGGCCAGGAGTTGAGACACTAGCATTGACTGATTTGTAGTTTGGTTTTTTGTTTGTTTGTCAATCCTGGAACTTAAACTCAGGGCCTGGGCACTGTCCCGGAGCTTCTTTTTTTTCTTTTGGTCCGATTGTGGGGCCTGAACTCTGTGCCTGGGTGCTTTCCCTCAGCTCTTCAGCTCAAGGCTAGTGCTCTACCACTTGAGCCACAGCGCCACTTCCAGCTTTTTTTTTTTTTTCTCCTGCTTATGTGGTGCTGAGGAATCGAACCCAGGGCCTCATTCATGCAAGGCAAGTGCTCTACCACCACCTTCCCAGTCCTCCCTGAGCTTCTTTTGCTCAAGGCTAGCACTCTACCACTTGAGCCACAGCATCACTTCTGGCTGTTTCTGTTTATGTGGTACTGAGGAATGGAACCCAGAGCTTCATGCATGCTAGGAAAGCACTCTACCACTAAGCCACATTCCCAGCCTTGATTTGTAGTTTTTAAAACCTTTCATGTGGTATTTTAGCTTCATCTCAACCTATCAAGGAAAGTAGGGAAGGTATTATTTTTCTGATTTCACACATGAGGAAGCCTAGACATTGCAAGGTGAAATAACTTCTGGCAATACAGCTCTGTGACTTGCCCAAAGTACTATGAATAGCTAGCTACTCACAGAGAAGCCTAGACTTGGGTTGCCCTTGGTGGCCTGCAAGGAAGAACTAGGATCAGAACTGGGTATTTGAGTTTAAATACACACACACAACTATTTTTAGACCAGTTTTACTATCTCATGGGAACAAATGGTACAGTGAATGGGAATAAGTTCTGCCAAAGACAATATACCCCAATATACTAGGTATTATTATTCCTATTGGCAGAGGGTTCAAAAGGACAGGAACTCATTGTAAAGTCAATTGACCTGTAATCCTAGAGGAAAAAAAGGTGATAGGATTAAGCCCAGATGAGCCTATCGAATTTCAAAAAGGCATATATTTAAACAAATAGGCTTTTGTATTCAAGTGGAGAAATATTTGGAACTGTAGATTTGTTAAGGTGAACAGATTTGGGTGCTAGGCTGGAGCACTTGCCTAGCATTCATGAAGCACTGAGTTCAATGCTCTGTGTGTATAAGAGCTTCTCATGATTTCCAGTCTGCCTGGGTGGTATTGGTTTGTATGCCACTCCTGGCTCAAGTAGTAGAGCACTAGCCTTGAGCTGAAGAGCTGAGGGACAGCGCCCAGGCCCAGAGTTCAGGTCCCATGACCGGGCCTCCCCCCCCCCCCAAAAAAAAAAGAAAAAATGTACTCATTACCTGTCATATAACTGTAACCCTTCAGTATATCACCTTTATAATAACAATTTAAAAAAATAGAACTGCTGGGCACCGGTGGCTCACACCTGTAATCCTGAAGCAGGATAATTTATGGAAACTAAGATCTGGTGTAGGCAACTAAGAAATATGGTATCTAAAAACTTAGAAACAGGGGCTGGGAAGGTGGCTCAGTGGTAGAGCACTTGCCTTGCATGCCTGAGGCCCTGGGTTGGATTCCTCAGCACCACATAAGCAAAAAGAAAATAGCCAAAAGTGGCGCTGTGGCTCAGGTGGTAGAGCACTAGCCTTGAGCTGAAGAGCTGAGGGACAGCGCCCAGGCCCAGAGTTCAGGCCCCATGACTGGACCCAAAAAAAAACCCAAAAAAACTTAGAAATGTTACTATCTTTGCTTCAAAGAGAGGCAACTGAATGCATTCTTTCCTAAGGGATGCATTTCTCACCCAAGAATTCTCAACTGCCTGACAGGATGCCGCAAAATGCAGAAAGCAGATGTCTCCTCCTTTCAGGGATAAGGATCTGTTTTATGGAAGGATACATTCTTACCTGGAAACTCTGAGAATAACAGCAGATGTAGTTAAAGCAAAGACAAAACACCTAGCTTTGCATAACTTAAAGCCAGACCCCCTGCCTTTACCCTATAAATAGCCAACAGCCCAAGGAGTTATGTGTCTCTCTAGGTATCTCCTTGTCTGTGTCTATGTCTGTGTCTTTGTGTCCTTATGAGAGCACCCACACTCTTCTAGAATGTGCCCCTGCCCTTCAGCTTTTTTGTCTGTTTTCTTGCTTGTTTACTTAATAAAGCTCTGCCAAGTTTTCTTACCATTGTGACTTGTCCAGAAATTCTTATTCTTTTTTTTTCTTTTAATTATTTTTTTTTATTGTGAAAATACTGTACAGAGGGGTTACAATTACATGGGCAAGATAGTGAGTACATTTCTTATCAAGCATTGTAGCCTCCTCCTTTGTTTACCCTTCCCATCCCTTCAGAAATTCTTATTCTGCGATTGAAGTCAAGAACCCTAAGTGAAGAATTCCTATATTTAAAGAGGAGCTTCAATAAACCTCACCTCTGTTGATGACAATCCTAGCTACTCAGGAGGCTGAGATCTGAGGACCACTGTTCAAAGCCAGCCCAGGCAGAAAGTCCATGAGACTCTTATCTCCAATAAACCTCTCAGAAAGCCAAAAGTGGTGTTATGGCTCAAATGGTAGAGTGCTAGCCTTGAGCTCAAGAGCTGAAGGACAGTGCCCAGGCCCAGAGTTCAAGCCCCATGACCAAAAAAATAGAACTTCCCTGCCTATTCCAGTCCCAGTTCCCAACATCTTTGTTTAGGGACATGCCCCATTTATCATTCCCTAACCAACCATCCTTTCAAAATGGAACCCTTGTTTGTTTTTATATTTTATTATTCAGGATACCCTTTTCTTTTTGCTGCCAGTCATTGAACTTAGGGCTTGAGCACTGTCCTTGAACTTTTGTACTCAAGGCTAGCACTCTACCACTTGAGCCACAGATCCATTTCTGACTCTGCCTGAGCTGGCTTTGAACCATGATCCTCAGATCTCAGCCTCCTGAGTAGCTAGGGTTATAGGTATGAGCCATCAATGCCCTTTTTGTTATTCTTATTTCCCATTTGGTGTGTTTTGTTTTGTTGGTCGGTTGTGGGGGGTTGAACTCTGGGCGCTGTCCCTCAGCTCTTCAGCTCAAGGCTAGCTCTACCACTTGAGTCACAGCACCACTTCCAGTTTTCTGATGGTTATTTGAAGATAAGAGTCTCATGGACTTTCCTGCCTGGCTGGCTTTGAACCATGATCCTCAGATCTCAGCCTCCTGGGTAGCTAGGATTACAGGCGCAGGCCACTGGTGCACAGCCCCATTTGGTGTTTTTGAAATCCATCGGTGCAAAAGTGAAATGTTAGGACCTTGACTAAGTTTGTAATTAATAAACAGATGTGGTCATATCTGGGAAAATGGAATTAGAGGCAGCCTATCATATATATACTTCTTCCATGAACTCAAGCCTAGGCTGTGGTGGATATTCACCCTTAGAGTTTTGTGCCTATGACATCATGTGAGGAAAAGAGCCTGAATAGCTGGGTGCCAGTGGCTGAAGCCTGTGATCCTAGCTACTCTAGAGGCTGAGATCTGAGGATCACCATTCAAAGCCAGCCAGGCAGGAAAGCCTGTGAGACTCTTATCTCCAATAAGTCACTCAGAAAATCGGAAGTGGCCTGTGACTCAAATGGTAGAGCACTTGCCTTGAGCTGAAGAGTTCAGGGACAGGCCCAGAGTTCAAGCCCCATGACTGACCAAAAAAAAAAAAAGGGGGGGGCTGGGAAGGTGGCTCAGTGGTAGAGCGCTTGCCTTGCATGCCTGAGGCCCTGGGTTCAATTCCTCAGCACCACATAAGCAAAAAGAGAAAAGCTGGAAGTAGCGCTGTGGCTCAAGTGGTAGAGTGCTAGCCTTGAGCTGAAGAGCTGAGGGACAGCGCCCAGGCCCAGAGTACAGGCTCCACAACCGGACCCAAAAAATAAAATTAAAAAAAAAAAAAGAGCCCAACAAATAGGCTGCACCCACTTGAACAAAGTTCATGTTAATTGCCAGCCATGAAAAGTAAATGCTAGTAAGTGACCACACAGATAAGCACTATTCTAAAACGGTTTCAGTCATGACTGAATAATACTCTTCTCTGCTGGCAGAAATAAAAGTAAACAGTAAACCCCATGGAAACAGCCTCCATGTTACTGTCATCCAAACTGGTTTCATACCATAATCTGTTCAGAAGTCGGTTCACACTTCTCAGAATGTTAAGTTTCTGGGCTCTGTTTCCTCCTTTCTTTTCCAAGGCAATGATGACAGCTTCTTTGAAGCTGAAGAATGGAGAAAGCACCTGTAAAGCACAGCACCCCCTTGTCCTCATCTGTCTCTGCAGGTGGTGACTTTCGATGCCGGAGGAGTCAGTGGTCACAGCAATCACATTGCTTTGTACACCACTGTCAGGTAGGTTTCTCTAATGATGGAGATGGGAGAAGTTTTGCCCATTCATTCAAGGATCATGGTTACTAAAGTACCTTCCCTCTGGGCCCAGGGAATCTGACTGCATCCATACACAGCTGCTGTTGGTGATGTTGCTCCCTCATCACCTCCCTCACTACATCTCATCCTCTTTATGAGATATCGTCCAGTAGGAATGTTCCTCTCCTAAGCAGCTGTGTGTGTGTGTGTGTGTGTGTGTGTGTGTGTGTGTGTGTGTGTGTGTGTGTGTGTGTGTGTGTGCCTAAGCAGCTGTGTGTGTGTGTGTGTGTGTGTGTGTGTGTGTGTGTGTGTGTGTGTGTGTGTGTTCCCTTCCTCCCCCCTGGATCCTGCAAATGGAGTAACTGATTTTATTTCTCTCTGCTTGGCCACAGAATTTTTTTTTTTTTTTGCCAGTCCTGGGGCCTGAACTCTGGGCCTGGGCGCTGTCCCTCAGCTCTTCAGCTGAAGGCGAGCACTCTACTGCTTGAGCCACAGCATCACTTCCGGCTTTTTCTGTTTATATGGTGCTGAGGAATCGAACCCAGGGCCTCATGCATGCAAGGCAAGCGCTCTACCACTGAGCCACCTTCCCAGCCCCGTGGCCACAGAATTTTATAACCCTTGTAATGCAGGAACAAGACTTCAGAAAACCGGTTCTCTGGATCAGTGTACTTGCTTCATCTTTTCCCTCCCTTACTCTGGTTTTTCATCTCCCATTATAGATTTTTGTATAGTTTCCAATCTTTTTTTTGGAAGGGGAATATACACATATGAAATTCTAGTTGTTGTGCTAGACATGGTGGCACACACCTGTAAGGCCAACCTGGCCTACTAGCAAGGTCCTGTCTAAAAATAATAATTCCATTTGTTCTCCACTGATACCTTATTTTACTGATGTCTTCATTTGGCTAATAAAACCAAATGGAACCTCAAAGATGTTGAGTAACTTAGGATCATCCAACCATGAACATGTTTCCTGTTCTCTAGCAGAATGAACTTTCTTCTGAACATGCTAGAGTAGTAAAGAAATTGAAGTTGGAGATGACATCATCAATCTGGTTATGGGAAATGAGGCAGTCCAGGAATGGACTTTGGTTACCCTGAGGCCTTGGGCTTCTAAGATTAGACAACAGGCCCCTTTGAGACTAGGAATAGTGGCTCAACTTCATTGCAGATGTATGTGAGACTTGTGACCACCCCAAGTACCCACACTGCTCCACAGAAAGGAGCAGACCAGGTCTACTGCAAACCAAGCAGGAGTACCTCAACAGGCAGTGTTACCTAGATACCTGAGGGGGACTTGGCTGGTTCCAATCCCTGGTTCCATCATCTTTGGAGTGGAAAAGGCAAGGAAAGCTTGCTTCGGGGTAGAGAACCCAGGGAACCATATATCTGCAGATAGAACTTCCTCCGAAGAGGTTCTCATCACTTCTGAAACCATGGACAACCACTGAGCTCTAGATTTAAAAAATGATGGACATGGCCACTGTCTGCCAGAACTTTTCTCCATGGTCATCTTCTGCCTGCTAAGTCCATGAGACTCATCGTCTTGGCCCTTCTGCGGCACATGATTCTGCCTGTCAGCTGTCCAACTGTTGTCTTGACTTGTCTAGCATTGTCTGTTTCTTCCCCTTGTGGCCTCTTGGGTCACCTTTCAGACTTTTTCCTGGCTTCCTTCCCACCCAAGATCCCTGGGTGTCCCTGTCCCTAGGGCTTTCTTCCCAGTAACACACTTGTGTGGCTATAATCTCTGAGCTAGTTCAGGGAGCGACTAGCACTTACTTCTTTCCCAAGATACCCACTTTGAAGTCACAATATCCCCAAGAATCTGCCTAGAACACAGGACAACTCACTTCCTCCTCAGTATCCCAGAAATATTTTTCAGGGTCTTCCATTTCTAAGTACTATGAGAGTCAGTTCCATAAGTTTGTCAACTCCACCTTCTTTACCTCTTGCTCCCTAGAGTCCCTGATCTTAAGTATGTAAGTCTGATGTGATGGGCAGGAGCTTTCAAACAACAAATCAGGAAAGCAACCCAGATGTCACTGCTGTTGGACTTGCCTCATCCTTCCTCTCAAGGTAGTGAGCACAGAATGGCTTCTTGGTGAGAAAGTAGGAGTGGAGGAGGTCAGAAAGGAGAGGAAACATCAGGGAAGAAACATAAACAACTTCCTCTCACCATACTCATAGTAGTTTCAAGAGAAAAACATCCTATACCCCTTGATAGTTAAAACTTGGGCTAGGGCTGGGAAGGTAGCTCAGTGGTAGAGTGCTTCCCTTGCATGCCTGAGGCCCTGGGTTCAATTCCTCAGCACCACATAAGCAAAAAAGAAAAAAGCCGGAAGTGGCGCTGTGGCTCAAGTGGTAGAGTGCTAGCCTTGAGCTGAAGAGCTGAGGGACAGTGCCCAGGCCCAGAGTTCAGGCCCCAAGACTGGACCCCCCCAAAAAAAAATAATAATAAAAAACTTGGGCCAGCATTTCATAATCCATAGACCAACCGCTTGAGTTAACTTCCCCTAGATGAAAGACCCACCCTGTTCCCTTAGTTGTAGCCACAGGTATGGGATTCCAGAAATCTAAATGGTGAAGTATGTGAAGAAAAAAAAAGCCACCTAAGAACCTATAGGATGGGAGAATCCTGGCCCTGCAGGCCTTCCTCTATGTATAAGCCCCTCCCCCTTGGCACAAAGGAGGGGTGACTTACCCATTCTCACTCTTGCATTTTCCCTCCTCCAGGGCCCTGCATTCAGAAGAAAAGTTCCCTAAAGGTAAGGCCAGTCCCTTTTACAAAAAACCACTAGTTGTCCCTCTAAGGAACTAATGCAAGGTAAAATTTACAAATATAATCAGCTTCAGCTTCTCCCCTCCCCACCCACTCCCACCCCACTATATCTGTGAATTTGGCATCTGGATTTAACCACCATAGACCAAAATTACTTTAGGGGAAAAATGATGTCTGTACTTACATAAACAGACTTCTCTTCTCATTAGTCCCTAAGTAATATGATGGACAATCTTCACTATAGGACGTATTAGTAACCTAAAGATGATCTATAGCATACAGAAGGGTGTATGTAGGTTCTGTACCAATACTGTGTCATTGTAGAAAAGAAATGTGAGCAAGCATCTGCAGATCTTTGGAATCTTCAGGGGTCCTGGAACCCTTGATTATTGTGGGATACCTGTATGTAGAGAGTTGCCCTAACCAGGAAGAGGAAGGTCACACTTTGACTCAGCTCTGCATGCCTGTCAGGTGGCATCTGGTGCCAAGTACCTTGCCAACAGGCCTGTTTTAATATGCAAAGAGGCCAGGCTTGCCTCCATGCCTCTACTTTCCACACAGGATAGGTAGGTCAGTCCTGCCTTTGGTATTCTGTCATTCTATCCTTTCAAATTCATCCTTTTTCTTTTTTGCCAGTCTGGGGCTCTAACTCTGGGCCTGGGTGCTGTCCCAGAGCTTCTTTTGCTAATGCTCTACCACTTGAACCACTTTCAGCTTTTTCTGGATAGTTTATTAGAGATAAGAGTCTCAAGGACTTTCCTGCCTGGACTGGCTTTGAATTGTTATCCTCAGGTCTCAGTCTCCTGGGGAGCTAGGATTACAGGTGTGAGTCACTAGTGTCCAGCTTCAAATTCATATTTTACACACATACTCCCAATTAATGAGCCAGGTTGTACGTGCCTGACAGGTGTCTGATATACTAATGTGCTTGACATAGGAACTCTTTGTTACCTACAATAAGGTATCTGACTATTGGTCATTTACCATTACTTCCTTGCTTAGCCCCTCTGAGCCATTCTGTTCCTGCTCACAGAGCAATATGACAATTCAACAAATAGAAATACTAAGTGGCATGTGCCCTTTGTACATAGACTTAACAAGCTGTGCAGTCTTTAGAACCTCGCTATAGCCAATATGATTTTTTTTTTTTGGTTGGTTGTGGGGGCCTGAACTCTGGGCCTGGGCACTATCCCTCAGCTCTTCAGCTCAAGGCTAGCACTCTACCACTTGAGCCACAATATCACTTCCGACTTTTTCTGCTTATGTGGTGCTGAGGAATTGAACTCAGGACCTCATGCATGCAAAGCAAGCACTCTACCACCGAGCCACCTTCCCAGCCCGCCAAAATGATTTTTTTTTTGGGGGGGGGGGGTCCGGTCTTGGGGTCTAAACTCTGGGCCTGGGTGCTGTCCCTCAGCTCTTCAGCTCAAGGCTAGTGCTCTACCACTTGAGCCACAGCACCACTTCCGGCTTTTTTCTTTTTGCTCATGTGGTACTAAGGAATCAAACCCAGGGCCTCAGGCATGCAAAGCAAGCGCTTTACCACTGAGCCACCTTCCCAGCCCTGATTTTTATATCTACCCTGTAAAACGAGTACATCCCACACTATGAACACTATTTTATGAACTAGAAAACTGAGATCCAAGAATTGGGGGCATGGCTCCATATCCTGCCTTTGCACTGTATACCAAGCTGGGCACATGATGTAGTAGCTACTACTACTCAGGAGACTGAGATCACAGATTCTTTGAAGCCAGCCTAGGCAAAAAAATTCAAAAGATTTTGTCTCCAATTAACCAGCAAAAACCTAGACTAGGGGCTGGGAAGGTGGCTCAGTGGTAGAGCGCATGCCTTGCATGCCAGAGGCCCTGGGTTCGATTCCTCAGCACCACATAAGCAAAAAGAAAAAAGTCAGAAGTGGCGCTGTGGCTCAAGTGGTAGAGTGCTAGTCTTGAGCTGAAGAGCTGAGGGAGAGCGCCCAGGCCCAGAGTTCAGGCCCCACGACCGGACCCAAAAAAAAAAAAACAAAAAAAAACCTAGACTATAGGCATGACTCAAATGGTAAAATACCAGCTATAAGCAAAAAAGTTGAGCCAGAACATGAGGACCTGAGTTCAAACTCCAGCACTACCCACCAAAAGAAAGATTCATAGCAATTAAGGGATTTTCCTATAACAGTTTTTGAATGACAGGCCTAGAAACAGGCCTCTCACCAGCCAATACCAATATTTCTGTCTTCATCACCTTCCCCTTGTACTTGAACTTGCCATATTCCAACCTCTAAGCAGCCCACCTCTTCTTCCTAGGTCCCATAGTGGGTTGGAGGGTGGCCAGCCTCATCTATGACCCTTTCACTCTTTCTATCTGGGAGAATGCTGGGCAAAGAGCAGCCTTACTGTTGCAAGACACTTGGCAATCAGCAGCAACTGACCCTTATGTCCTGACTAATGTACAGGAGGAAGGTGCTCAGAATGGCTGGCTGGGAACGAAAAGCTATTCATGTCTCCCATTCGCTCCCCACTAGGATGTTCTGTGCTGACACTTCAATCTGTGAATGTGCTGCGAAAGTATCTCTCCTTCCTTGACCTGCCCTGGTCCCTGCTGAGCACTCAGGATATCCTGTTCGTGCTTACCAGTGAAGAAGTGGCACAGGCCAAGGTGAGGATTGTGAATTCCTAAATACGTGCACTCTGAACTAGACCCCATTGTTCCTCAAAGCCTTGTCTGTAGAGGCCCTCACTGAAGACCTTCCAAAGACAGAGCTCAGTATCTGCCCCCAAATGTAAAGATTAGGCAAGAGAAACCTTAGTCTTGAGATAGATTTTTCAAACACTTTGACTTTATTTCTCTAATTACCAAATTTTAAAGTAAATGACACCATGCTCATTTGTAGAAAATCTAGAATTCATAAAAACATCAGTAAAATAAAAATAAGAGCCAGTCAGAGTAATGCTTGCCTGTAATCTCAGCTTCATGGGAGTCTGAGGTAGGAAGCTAACAAGTTTAAGGCCAGCCTAAGCCACTTAGAGAGACTCTCAGAAAGTAAAAAATTGCGGGGCACTGATGGATCACGCCTGTAATCCTAGCTACTCAGGCTCAGCCTCCTGAGTTCTGAGGATCAAGGTTCAAAGCCAGCCTGGGCAGGAAAGTCTGAGACTCTTATCTCCAATAAACCACTCAGAAAACCAGAAGTGGCACCGTGGCTCACGTGACAGAGTACTAACCTTGAGCTGAAATGCTGAGGGATAGCTCTCAGGCTCAGAGTTCAAGCCCTGTAACCAACAAAAACAAACAAAAAAAAATTAGTTGTGTTCTCCTGTGGAAAAAAATACTATATAATAGTTTGCTGATAGACTTTATGAAGACAGTCCTGCCCAGTGCCCCTTACTATCCACAAGTTGAGTATTACAGGTATGCTTACATCTCAAAAGCTATGCAGTATAACATTTAATTTATAACATTTAAACTTTTGCCAAAAATATTACCTAGAAAGGCAGTTAATTTATGGAACCCGGAATAAAACAGCACATATATAATATATAGTTATATGTATATACTTAAATCAATTACTGGGATGTGTTTAAAAACAGAACTATAGCTGGGTGCTGGTGGCTCACACCTGTAATCCTAGCTATTCAGGAGATTGAGATCTGAGGATCACTGTTCAAAGCCAGCCCAGGCAGGAAAGTCCATGAGACCCTTATCTCCAATTAACCACCAAAAAACCAGAAGTGGCACTTTAGCTTAAGTGGTAGAACAATCACCTTAAGCTGAAGAGCTGAGGGACAGGGCCCAGGCCCAGAGTTCAAGCCCCACAACCGACAAAAACAAAAAACACAGAACTATACTAGTTGTAAACTAGTTGTGAATAACAACATAATACACATTTCTCCCATTAAGGTGGGAAGACAATCTACAATTATGTAGCATTCTAGCTTACCTAATTCCAAAGGTGTGTTGTAGCCTACTTCTCATAAAACTCAGTTTGTATTGTGTAAGGTGGTGGAACAGAATGATTAGGATGAAGGTTTTAGAATCAAAATTAGATGCTTCTGGGATTGAATCTCATCTGTTATCTGCCACCTTTTTGGGATTGATGAGATTTCTAATTTATTTATTTATATACTTTTTTTTTTGTTAGTTGTGAGGCTTGAACTCAAGTCCCCCCTATCCCTGAGCTCTTTTGCTTAAGGCTAGTGCTCTACCACTTTTTTTTTTTTGGTCAGTCAGGGGGCCTTAACTCTGGGCCCTTCCCAGCCCCTCTACCACTTTGTTTTTGTTTTTTGCCAGTCCTAGGGCTTGAACTCAGGGCCTAGGCTCTATCCTTGAGTCTCTCTGTGCTCAAGGCTAGTGCCCTAGGATTTGAACCACATTGCCACTTCCAGGTTTCTGGTAGTTAATTGATGATAAGAATACCAGACTTTCCTACTCAGGCTGGCTTTGAATCATGATCCTCAGATCTCAGCCTTGAGCAGCTAGGATTACAGGCATGAGCCACCGGTGCCCAGCTCTGAGAGACTCTTAACAGTGTGTGTATGTAGGTTCTGGGGTTTGAACTCAGGGCCTGGACATTGTCCCTGAGTTCAAGCCTCAGGACCAGCACAAGAGAAAAAAAAATTTCAATAAAATAACTCTATGGGTTAAGCACTATTGTTACTGCTATAACAACAACAACAATGACAATAATAGCTGGGCACCAGTGGCTCACGCCTATAATCCTAGCTACTCAGGAGACTGAGATCTGAGGATCACAGTTCAAAGCCAGCCTAGGCAGGAAAATCTGTGAGACTCTGATCTCCAGTTAGCCACTAGAAAACAAGATGGTACTGTGGCTCAAGCGGTAGAGCATTTGTTTTGAGCTTAAGAGTGCAGGGACAGTGCCTAAGCCCAGAGTTCAAGCCTCAGGACTGACCAAAAAAAAAAAGTCTCTCTGATTTTCCTGCTCAGATTGGCTTCAAACCGCAGTCATCAGATGTGTCTTTTTAGTAGCTAGGATTAAAGGTATGATCCACCAGTGCCCAGCTGAGATCATATTGATTGCTTGCCAATAATAAGTGCTATAGAAGAGATGGAAAGTCAAGAACCACCTAGAATATCATGGGCTACAAGAAGCCAGGTAAGAATACAGCATAAAGGGGAGTAGTGAGGGGAAAGATTTCAGGTCAGGGAGCAGATCTAAAAGCAACAGAAACAGATCCAGAGCAAGTTTCCATAATTGGTTCTCTTTGATTCTTCTAGAGAGCCATGTGCTGCCACCACAGCCAGCTCCTCTGGTTCCGCCGCCTCTACATCCTCTTCTCCAGGTACATGAGAATCAACTCACTGCACTTCCTCTGAAGCCTTGAAGAGTTTTCAGATCTAAGGAACAAAGAGGAGAAATGGAAGCCCACGACCCTGGCCTAGATCTGGCCATTGGAGATCGCAGCTAAGTAGTTATGCAGAAGAGGACCATGTAGGCCCAGTAGTGGACCACTCAAACTCACCTCTCCCTGGGGTGTAATACGAATGGGGAGCAAGAACCCTACAGACCAGAAACAAATCAAGCCATGGATAAAAATAGATATCCTGATAACTTTTCAAGTTCTTGTGAAAAAGAATTTGCATAAGGAAAGTGTCAAACACCTAGCACAGAGCTTAGACAGGCTGCTATGATGATAAATGAATGTAAAGGTGCCCTAAAAACACTTCACAGACTACTGAGAGAGACTAGCCTTGAGCACAAAACTCAGAGACAGCACCCAGGTCCTCAGTGCAAGCCTGACAATTTATCAAAAATTAAAATAAACTTACCAAAAATTAAAATAAAAACAGATACTCTATGACCTAAGGAAGTGTTTAGATTATCATGTTGTTACATATACTAGAAAAATCCAGTGATACAATCTCATTCTATAACGATGAAAAAGGTTCACATGTAGTAAAAATTTTAAAGCAGATTAGAAATGGCACAGTGCTATTTTGTGTTGTGAGTTGCTGTTAACACACAAGTAGATGATTAAAGTGGTATATCCAAAAGAAAGATAGTTACCAACGAGGCCATCCTTCAGCAATGCAAGCTTAAAATTATAAAAGATTGGTTTGGTGTAGTTTACAAATAGTTTGGATGGGAAAAATACTTCTTAAATAAAGTAAGGCTTTTTTTTTTTTTTTTGGTGGTGGTGGTGGTTGTGGGGCCTGAACTCTGGGCCTGGGCGCTGTCCCTCAGCTCTTCAGCTGTAGACTAGCACTCTACCTCTTGAGCCTCAGCCCCACTTCCGGGTTTTTCTGCGTATGTGGTCTGAGGAATTGAACCAAGGGCCTCATGCATGTAAGGCAAGCACTCTACCACTGAGCCACCTTCCCAGCCCAAATAATGTAAAGCTTTAACAAATACATATAGAGGGCTGGGAAGGTGGCTCAGTGGTATAGTGTTTGCCTTGCATGCATTAGGCCCTGGGTTCGATTCCTCAGAACCACATAAGCAGAAAAAACTGGAAGTGGCGCTGTGGCTCAAGTGGTAGAGCGCTAGCCTTGAGCTGAAGAGCTGAGGGACAGCACCCAGACCCAGAGTTCAGGCCCCCACATCCAGCAAAAAAAAAAAAACATATAGAAAGTATGATCTCAGGGCTGGGAAGTTGGCTCAGTGGTAGAGCGCTTGCCTTGCATGCCTGAGGCCCTGGGTTCAATTCTCAGCACCACATAAGCAAAAAGCCGGAAGTGGCGCTGTGGCTCAAGTGGTAGAGCGCTAGCCTTGAGCTGAAGAGCTGAGGGACAGTACCCAAGCCCAGAGTTCAGGCCCCACGACCGGACCCAAAAAAAAAAAAAAAAAAAGAAAGTATGATCTCACATACATAAAAACCTGATTTATTAGCCAGGTACTGGTGGCTCATACTGTAATCCTAGCTACTCAGGAGGCTGAGATCTGAAGATTAAAGTTCAAAGCCAGCCCAGGGAGGAAAGTCCCCATGAGACTCTTATCTCTAATGAACTACCTAAAACAGACAGATGAAGAGCTGTAACTCAAATAGTAAAGGACTATTCTTGAGCAAAAAGCTCAAAAATCATGCCTAGGCTCTGAGTTCAAGCCCCAGCACCTACACAAACAAATTTTTAAAAAGTCTAGAAAGCAGGGGAACTGAAGGTAAGCTTTTTTTTTTTTTTTATCGGTTGTGAGGCTTGAACTCTGAACTTGGGCGCAAGCCAAGCGATCTACCACTTGAGCCACTTCAAGTTTTCTAGTGGTTTATTGGAGATCAGAGTCTCACAGACTTTCCTGCTCTGGCTGGCTTTGAACCAAGATCCTCAGATCTCAGACTCCTGAATAGCTAGGATTACAGGCTTGAGCCACCAGCGCCTGGCTAAACTATTGTTTTTATCCAGTGAATGACATTGTTGTTTGAAGCCAGCTTCTGCTCTTTGTCTCCATCTCAGCATCTTCTCTAGCTATCACTGCAGCCAAGGGTGTCGAGCTTCAGGTTCCACTCTGGGTTCCAGGAAAAGGAGATGCCAGAACAAGGCTCTCCTTGCTTCTAGGACAGAGCCAAGAGGCAGCAACATAGGGAGGAAGGAAACCTCTCAAGGCCATTGGGACAGCCAAAGAAATATGTTGTTAGAGAAGGTACAATGCAGCCAGAAAGACACTTGTCATAACCAGAGGGAAGCCTCTGTGCAAATTATTCCAAAGGAGCTCTTGCTCAGGGCACAAGAGCCTGGGGCAAATGCCTTGTGTAGTTAACCTCTTAACTAGGCAGCAGCCCAGAAGCCTGGAGCAAAGATCTGAATTCATGGTTGTTGCTGGGCATGAAGGATGGCAGGTCTGAGCCTATGTAAGCTACATGGTGAGATCCTTGCTCTAAAAAAAGAAAATTAATTAATTAAAAAAAAAAATGAGTGCTTGCATGAGGCCCTGGGTTTAATTCCTGAGCACCACATAAACAGAAAAAGCTGGAAGTGGTGCTGTGGCTCAAGTGGGAGAGCACTAGCCTTGAGCTGAACTGCTGATGGACAGTGCCCAGGCCCAGAGTTCAAGCTCCACAACCCCCCCCCCCCCAAAAAAAAAAAAAAAGTAATGATGGATATTCTTTCACTCACATGATGAAAAAAAACAAAAACACACACACACAAAAAAACTCAACTAAGACTCCACCTGGGCGTCTGGGAAGTTGGCTCAGTGGTAGAGCGCTTGCCTTACATGCCTGAGGCCCTGGGTTACCTACCTATCAGAGAAACCATCACACCATTCCCCATCCACCCCATCTCAGCAAATGGCTGATGATTGGTCATTTCTCACCCTGGCGGAGAAGAACAAAAAGTACCAATATTTTGCCACTCATCCCTTGGCCACTATTCAAGCACCCTGACTGATGAAGGAAACAAAAAAGCAAAACCAGGGGCTGGGAAGGTGGCTCAGTGGTAGAGCGCTTGCCTTGCATGCCTGAGGCCCTGGGTTCGATTCCTCAGCATCACATAAGCAAAAAGAAAAAAGCCAGAAGTGGCATTGTGGCTCAAGTGGTAGAGCGCTAGCCTTGACCTAAAGAGCTGAGGGACAGCGCACAGGCCCAGAGTTCAGGCCCCACGACCGGACCCCCAAAAAAAAGCAAAACCAGCCAGGCACAATACAAAGGGGGAACCTTCACCTAAAGAGGCACAGAGGGAGAGGAATTCTAGAATTATTTTTTTTTGGGGGGGCGTCCAGTTGTGGAGCCTGAACTCTAGGCCTGGGCTCTGTCCCTCAGCTCTTCAGCTCAAGGCTAGCACTCTACCACTTGAGCCACAGTGCCACTTCCGGCTTTTATTTTCCTGCTTATGTGGTGCAGAGGAATTGAACCCAGGGCCTCATGCATGCAAGGCAAGTGCTCTACCACTGAGCTACCTTTCCAGCCCAAGAATTCTATTCTTTAAAGAAGAAAGAGACTTTATCAAAAACCATAAGGAGCCAGGCACTAGTGTCTCACACCTGTAATCTGAGCTACTTAGGAGGCTGAGATCTCAGGATTGCCCTTGGAAGCCAGCTCCTCAAGAGATACTCATCTCCAATTAACCACTTAATAACTGGCGGTGGATGGGGCTGGGAAGGTGGCTCAGTGGTAGAGCGCTTGCCTTGCATGCATGAGGCCCTGGGTTCGATTCCTCAGTACCACATAAGCAAAAAGAAGAAAGCCGGAAGTGGTGCTGTGGCTCATGTGGTAGAGCGCTAGCCTTGAGCTGAAGAGCTGAGGTACAGCATTCAGGCTCTGCTTTTGAGCCTCATGACACTAAAAACAAACAGAACACCATAAGGAAAACTCTAGTACTGGCCAGGTGGTCAAAATGGTTATTTAAAAGATGTATTTCACAACTGAAGAGGGCTAGCCAAAAAAATGGAGATCCTGGTGGAAAAGAGAAATAAAGACAAGATCACTGATAGAAGTTCCAGAGGGGGAAAAGGCCACAGATGAACTTGGGCACAATAAGGAGGATGTCTAGAAGCTGAATGAGGCTGAGTCAGTACATCAGAAAATCCCAATAAACCCACGCAGGCCAGGTGCCAGTGGCTTATGCCTGTAATCTTAGCTACTCAAGAGGCTGGGATCTGAGGATAGTGGTTCAAAGCCAGCCCAGACAGAAAGTTCATGAGACTTTTATCTCTAACTACTCAGAAAAAGCCAGAAGTGGCGCTGTGACTCAAGTGGTAGAGTGCTAGCCTGTTCAGGAGCAGTGCCCAGCCCCTAAGTTTAAGCCCCAGGACAGGCAAAAAAACAACTCAAAAACCCAAGCAGCTTGATTTATTAAAAAAAAAAGAAAGAAAGAAAAAGGGGCTGAGAAGGTGGCTCAGTGGTTGAGCACTTGCCTTGCATGCCTGAGACCCTCGGTTCGATTCCTCAGCATCACATAATAAAAAAGAAAAAAGCCGGGCGCTGGTGGCTCACGCCTGTAATCCTAGCTACTCAGGAGGCTGAGATCTGAGGATCGCGGTTCAAAGCCAGCCAGGGCAGGAGAGACTGTGAGACTCCTATCTCCAATAAACCACCAGAAAACCGGAAGTGGCGCTGTAGCTCAAGTGGTAGAGCGCTCACCTTGACCTGAAGAGCTGAGGGACAGTGCCCAGGCCCAGAGTTCAAGCCCCACGGCCGACAGAAAAAAGAAAAAAGCTGGAAGTGGCGCTATGGCTCAAGAGGTAGAGCGCTAGCCTTGAGCTGAAGAGCTGAGGGACAGCGCCCAGGCCCAGAGTTCAGGCCTCATGACCGGACCCAAAAAGAAAGAAAGAAAAGAAAGCCAGTGTCGGTGGCTCATGCCTATAATGGTAGCTACTCAGAAAGCTGAGATCTGAGGATCACAGTTCAAAGCCAGCCCAGGCAGGAAGAAAAGTCTGTGAGACTCATCTCTAATTAACCACCAGGAAACCAAAAGTAGAGCTATGACTCAAAGTGGTAGAACATTAGCCTTGAGCAAAAATGTTCAGGGACAGCGCCCAGGCCCTGAGTTCAAGCCCCCCAACCAACTAGCACCACTAGTTTATGTCTGTAATGGTACTTGAGAGGATTGTGTCTGAGTGCCAGCTGGGCAGAAAGTTTAAGAGACCTCCTTCTCCATACAAAGCTGGACACAGTAACTTATTATCCTACCTATGATAGGAAGCCTAACCTAGGCATATTGTGCTTAGGG